AGCAGGAAAGGTCTTGCGAGTTTAGCTCTAGATTGTGAAACCCCTTCTCATTTTAAACTCAGTGGAACTAGTCAGAGAAAGGTACTACTTCAGGCTCCATTCTTTTTTTAATTTTAGTCTTCTATTCCATTTGTGCATTTGGGGTGGTACCTTAAAAAAATAAGGTACCACCATCATTTCTTGAGACCTCAGAACAATTTACTCTAAGTGCTTGAATATACATGAATACATTGCTATAATATGGTTCAGAGTTTGTTTTTTTAATTTTAAAGTCCTTAATTTTGATGCATACTTCTATGAAGCTATCCTTAGAAATTAAAATAGGAAGATATTCTGCTAATGTGAGGTCATAAATACAGCCCATCTTACACTTTAAATGTTTATATAACAATAAATTGAAGTGTTTCTGATGCAAATATCAGGACTCTGAAATAATATTATTTTCTTTAACAGACTGTCACAGAAAAGCATAAAATGAATGTACCAGAAACTATGAATGAAGTCCTTGATATGTCTGATGATGAAGGTATATAAAAAAGTAAAATTTTATCTACTTTAAGTCTACTTGTTGTAACATCAATTGTTAATTAATTCATTTTTTGGTCATTGAATGATCACTGTTGCAGAATGTTTTATTAGCTATGGCACTAAATTGTTTTGTTGACATACAGATATTCAACTTTTTATTTATTTTATTTATTTAAATCAGCAGTTCGTAAAGCCAATGTCCCTGAAATTCTCAGTGATGGTGAATATATATCAGATGTTGAAGAAGGTATTTGTGGATTTTTGTATTGCAGTGAAGTTTAACCTGATTTTTTTAAATGTCCTATGTGTAGAAATTAACTCTTCTTAAACTAACTAACCATTATTACCCTGCTAGCAACAATTTGCGCATTATACTAAGTGTGCTTTCAAAAATTTTCTGACTTCTGATAACACTTTAATTTTTGTCATAACTTTTGCTTCACTCTTAATCAAGTAATGACTAATTTTCTGGGATATTCTCTCTGCTGCTGTTTCTATTATAAAGAGAGAGAGAAATAGTTTCTCTATTTAAATTTTAAAAGGTACATATTAGACAGACATATTGAAATACTTGGGAAGATGGCTGACAATGTGAGATAACTGTTAGAAGGATTTTTTAACATCTCTGTTGTAAAATGAGTATTGGGACTATTGATTTTAAATTGATAGTTAGTGCCTGATCTGAAAAGAGCTGCTAGAGTGAAAACAAATCATCATTTAGTGTAACGTCACAGAAGTTTACACTTTTATTGTAGTATGAGGATGATGTGTTATTGTGACTAACATGTGTTAGGGCGTTACAGAGTGCACAGAGAGTGAACATATATGTTAGTACTGAATTAGACTGTGAAGTGCTGTGCAATAATAAAGGGACTCCATTTGGATTGCAAGAATTTGGGTCTTTATTAGAAGAGTCATGTGCTTGGGTGCTGCTGCTTGCAACTATGAAGTGCAGTGTGTGCTCAGAGCCATTGTGAAATTATCTAAGCAATTGAGATTCCTGGTGTCACCCTCTAAATCATCCTCACTACAACTTGTGTTCCAACCTACAGGTATTTGCAGATTTGTTACAACATTTAAGCCAGGCGTGGGCAATTATTTGGGCTGGAGGGCCACTTAAGGAGTTTTGGGCCACTTAGGTCACATTTCCTCCCTGGCCTACAACAGCTCACCAAAACTCCCTAAGTGGTAGACTACTATACTGGTCCAGGGGCGCTGAATGAAGCAGGAGGGTGGGTTCTTCATGGAGACCAGCCCAGAAACCCTGTGGGCGGGGCGCAGTCAGCTGAGCAGATGGAATGAGGCCACAGGCATGCAGGGCAAGCGCCTAGGACAGAATTGTGATCTGCTCCCCATATGGCCCCACACTCACCTTCCCACAATCCTCGCCATGGCCCCACCTACCCTTCTACTCCTGGACACTTCTCTCCAACTGCCCATGCCCCCATTCCATCCGCTTGGCTGCAGGGGCCCTGGGCCCGTCTCCATGGAAACCCCACCTGCCCACACTGGCTGGTGCCTCCAGTGATGGGTGCAGTGGGCAGACAGGCTGAGTTGCCCAGGGCTGGTGGCAGTGCCCCTGCTGGTGGTTGTGGGACAGACAGGCCTGCCGTGCCTGGGGTCTGACAGGAGCAGGAACACTGGCAGCAGAAGCTGGATGGAGCCGCTGCTGGCAGCTGAGTCCAGCCACTGCATTGCCCCAGCCCCGCTGGCAGGACTAGCTGCATGTGCCACAGCCTGGGATGCCCCCTTCCCCTAGGCTACATGGGGCTGAGGGACCTGCCACAGGTGAGATAAAATCCCTTGGCAGGCTGATCTGGCCTTCAGGCCATATTTTGCCCACCCTTCTTTAAGCTCAGCCCTATGTAAAAGGAGATACACAACTGTGCCACCTCAAGAAGAAGCTGCAGCTCACACAAGGTCTAATTAATGAGTCTTTGTATAGTAAATTCTGTGTGGGGACAGAAATAAGGCCCCATATGTTTTCAGTACCATCTATGTAAGGATTTTGAGCTACTTGCTGCAGCCATTACTACAATGATGGCCTAGTCGAGGCTCTTCCATGATCCTGAGGTACTCAGAAAATCCTTGCTGACCACTTTCCCTGTTTCCTTTTCCTCACCCCACCCCGCTGCAAACCTTTACAAATGCAGCAGCGCAAAGACCCTTGCTTTCTCTGTCTTGGTGCACTTCATTGTCATGATGAAAAAAGTTTAACAGGTTTTTGTTGTTTCCCATTGTGTTCCTTTTAGCTTGCACCAGAGCTATAATTTCTTTCTGTGTAGCAGTTATTGAGGCATTAGTTGCAATTTTCCTCAGTCTTTCTATTTAGCCTGTCTTCTGATTTCATGCTTCTCAAGAAGTTTATTTTTAAATTTCTTCTATAGTATTTTAAATATTTGAAAAGAGAAGCCCTTTTAACAAAATGTTAAAATCTTTGTTAAAATGCAAAAACTATGTTAAAATTTTTGGTTCATGGGGGGGCAGGCTTTTTTTTAATTCTGAAATGTTCAACATGTTCGTTCCATTATTATATCTCCACACAGTTAATATTCTTATAATCTACTTATATTTAAAAAAAAAATCCTAGGTTGTCATTTTCTAATTGTACTTTTCACAGCATAGAACCAAATGATTATAGCTAGCCTGAATACTAATTTATTGCAGTGTTCATTAATGGAACAAAAAATAATAGTATATTTGCTAGTGCTAGAATAAAAACTCATTTGTCTAAAAAGCCAGGTGAGAAACATTTAAATATGGACTGGCAATCACAGAATTTACTATTTAAGGCATTGCTGTAATGTGTTGCAGCATCTATAGATTCAGTACTAGCCTTATAGTTCTATGAAAGATAGATAAATTCACTAAATTATTTTTAAAAGGCAGTTTTAAAATTTTAAATAATATTATGAATGCTTCAAATAGTAGAATCATAGAAAAGTAGGTCTAGAAGGGACCTCCAGAGGTCATCTAATCTAGTCCCCTGCCTAAGCCAAGATCATCCCTATCCAAACCATCCTATACAAATCCATTGTTGAAACTCTTAGCAAAAGTACACGGTCAACACTGACAACAGCAAGACTAACACCTTAACCTGACACTGGTAAAACAGGGGGACCACGGTGGACAGTGTTCTGCTGTGAAGGTTGTTAAAATATGCTCAAAAGATCTAAAGAGAGGGAGGGATACAACCCCTGCTACAGAGGAAGGCAAGGGGAAGAGGGATACACCCCTCACAGTCTGTATCAACCTGACCAGGACCTTGGTGACTGGTCCAACCCTGAGTGAAGGGGTAAGACTCTCTAGCCATGAACCTCTTGGTTTAAGTCCCAGCAGAAGCACTGGAACATCCCTGTCAAAACAGCAGGCAGGCAAAGAAAAAAAAATCTTCTAGTCCTGGGAAGCAACCAGTAAAGCCCAGAACCATGGGAAATACCCATAGGAGAACATAAAGCATAACTACTCCTAGATCATCCCTGACCAATGTTTATCCAACATCTTCTTAAACACTTCCAGTGATGGAGATTTCACAGCTTCTTGGCAGTCTGTTCCACTGCCTTACTGTTCTAATTATGAAGACATTTTTCCTGATATCCAATCTAAACTTATTTTTCTGCAACTTCAGGCCATTAGTCTGTGTCCTGGTCTCTGCAGCAATGGAGAAAAGGTGTTATCTTTCTTTTTTGTGGAACCCCTTCAAGTATTTGAAGGCTGCTATCATATACCTTGTCAAGTGCCCTTTACAAAAACTAGCAATCAGGACTCATGGTAGAGGTGATATCTTTTATTAGACCAAAAAGATTTTTGAAAAAAAAATCTTTCCTTGCAAGCTTCCGGGTACAAACATCCTTCATCGGGCATTGGAGAAAACATTGTAAAAGTTCTCCTGGGTAAAAATGAAAGTTCATATTTTATACAAGAGTTCAAGGTGTGGTAAAATCTCCTGTTTGGAAAAGTTCATTTTATATGCAAATTAGGCTCAGAGAAAAGTTGGAATAGTCTGTTTAGCTCAAAGTAGTTTGGTGGTAGGCAGAATGTAGTCATATTTCCTCTTTACACAAACTAAACATGCCTATTTCCTTCAGCCAAGTATGACTTGCTTTCCAACCCCTTTGTCATTTTTGTTATCCACCTCTGGACCCTCTATATTTTCTCCATTTCCTTTTTAAAATGTGGAGCCCCAGACTCTACACAGTACTCTAGATGAGGCCTAACCAGTGCTGAGTAAAGACTCATTATCACCTCCTGTGTCTTGCCTCTAGTGCTTCTATTAATGCATCCCAAAACCATAGTTGCCTTTTATGCAGCTGCATCACACTGCAAACTTATATTGAGTCTATGATCTACCAGGACTCTCAGATCCTTCTCCATAATGTTGCCAATCAACAAGTTGTCATCCATCTTGTATTTGTTTCTGATTATTCTTCCCAACGTGTAGCACATTGCATTTGTCAGCATTAAACTCCAACCTGTTAGATCCAACTCAGCTTTCCAACTTGTCAAGATCCTTCCAAATTGTACTCCTGTCTTTCAACATATTCACAATCCTTCCCAGTCTCATGCCATTTTCAAATTTGCTCAAAAAGCTCTCTATTCCAGCACCCAAATTATGCTCCTGCCATTTTGACATGGATCCATTTATAAATACACTTTTTGATTGTGGCTATTCATGCAGTTGTCTACCTACCTTATAGTAGTTTTGTTCAGCCCACATTTCTCCTTTTTTGTGAGACTGTCATAACAGACTTTGTCAAAAACCTTGTGAAGTCCATATGCATTATATCCACTGCATTTACTTCATCCACCTAAGTAGTTACTTTGTCAAAGAAGGATATCAAGTTTGTTTGACACAATTTGTTCTTAGGAAATCCATGCTGGCTGCTTGTGATCTGCTTTTTCTCCTCTGGATGCTTGCAAATGGATTTCCATACGATATACTCCAGTAACTTCCAGTAAATAGATTATGAAACTGGCTAGAGGCAGCAATATATTGGTTTAAAATAACCCAAAACATGTCATTTTTAGACCTTACCTCCATAAGTAGGAACTCTGGGCCAGATTTAGATTGCCTCAGCAATTTAGATTCACCATCTTCCCAGAAGCAGGTTTCCTCTTGCTTGTTCACTCTGAGTCCCACAACACCGGCATATTTGTTCTTTCAGGAGGCCTAGCTTCCATGGGTGGAATGGTGAGGGCCAACTTACCCTGTTCTGTAGCCCCATATAGCCTATAAAACACATGGTC